TGAATTGATAATGATGACATTCTCTCTGATAAAGTTCAAACAATCTGCAATTCAGTACTGACCCATCCACTTCCAACGACGACTAATCTCTCACTGATCGATCAGTTGTGCAGTTAATCCCCTATCTTACTCCCTTTCTTTGTCTATCTTTNGGGGGACTGATGAAGAGAAGGTTTAGTGAATTGATAATGATGACATTCTCTCTGATAAAATTCAAACAATCTGCAATTCAGTACTGACCCATCCACCTCCAACGACGACTAATCTCTCACTGATCAATCAGTTGTGCAGTTAATCCCCTATCTTACTCCCTTTCTTTGTCTATCTTTACTTCTCAGACATGCATACAACACACACACACATTTGTGTATTCATTAGTTTGTTTTGAATAATTTAGTGTAATGGATTTGATGACAATGATTATGTTGATTCTATTTAACGATAATTTGTATATGTCACTCATTGTCAGGTATACATGGAAGCATGCTTGGTGTCAACTAATTGCACATGTTTATAATGATTTTGGTATGTAATGATGGTTGTTTTGGTGGTTGGATATGTATTAATGGTTTTGGGTATGGAAAGTTGGTTGTTTTGGTGGTTGGGTATGTATTGATGATTTTGGGAAAAATATATGATGATTGTTATATGATTGTAAATTTTGTAGACATGTTTAAATTTTTTTGGACTCCTATTTTTAAAGGAAACTTTACCGAAATTTTTGAAAAATATTAGGGATTACCTTAATTTCAATCTTAAAAACTATTTCAAATTGATGACTTTTTTTTTTTTAAGTTATAAAGGATTTTTTGTGTTGACGTGTCTTCAGGCACGGACAATTACTAGTATTCATATAAAACGCATATTTCAAAATCCAAATAAAACTAAATCTCGTTCATTTTAGATTTCTATAATTAGGACTATTTCTCTCTATAAAAAGTTTAATAATATTCGTATGACATTCACATTTTAAAATTAAAAAATAATTAAAATTTTATACCCCAATGACACTATTCCTAGATAGTGACTAAGGATGCAATTTGAGTGAGTTGGGTGGTTGAATAGTCAACCTTAAATATATAATCTTCAATCCTAATTCTAACCCTAACCTGAGTTCAAAACGATGGACTCAACCCGAACACTGCTCGAGTTTAATTCGAGCAAGTTCGGATTGAATTCGCGTTTTTAATTTCAGATTGATTTACAAGTACAATTCAGATTAACATAAAAATTATAATTAGAACATAAAAATCATTGCTTATAGTCAGTAGAAATCGATGAGAAATTGAGAAGTTGATTTGCGCTTTGCTGAGTTGAAGCCTAAGCAAGAGGGCCGGCCCAACTGTTTTAAAAAAAAAAACATGGGCTTTAGGCCTTAAATTTTTAGAAGACCCCATAATTTTAAATACATAGCTAGTCTACATAAAAAATTTAAATCCATGAAAATCTTATGCCTTACAAAAAGGCCCCAAAAAATTTAAGCCTAATCAAAAAATTATAATTTCAATAATTTAGATCTACAATTCAATCCATAACATTAAAACTCAAAAATAAAAAATTTTAAAAACAAATAAAAAAATATTCAAAAATTAACTAATATTTACTCGTATCCATTCTCTTTCTCTCTTAAAAAACAAAAATAAAGTATCACATCCTCCTTTCTCACTTAAAAAAATTAAAAATATTTTTTGATTTTTTAAAAATAATACTAAGAATAAAAAATCTCATTTAGTATTACCGTTTTAGGTCTCAAATTACCATCAACCACCCCGATAGAGAAGGAGCAGAGAGAAGGTGAGAAATTGATTTGCGTCGCTGAGTCAACAGAAATCGATTTACAAAAGGAAGAACAAAAGTCGACTTACTTATAGTCTACAGAAATCGATTTGCTCCAGCCTGTGCTTCTTCCTTCTTTGTCTTTGTGCTTGGAGATAGAGGACTAAGAAAGTGAGAAGTGAGATTTGAGAATAAGGGGAGAGGAGACGAGAGTGGAGCTTCATAGTTCACAGAAGATTGAATCAATTTAGGGCAAATAAATTAGGGAGATAGATCTGAGAGTGAAAAGGAGAGAGACTGAGAGTGAGAGAGGGAGGCGAAGGCACATATCTGAGAGTGAGTGTATTTATATAGTTATTAATTTGAGTTGAACAGATTAAGCCGATTTTAATATTTGAATTTAACCCGTGAAGCCAATGCCTCAATCTGAGGACCGCCTAAATTGAATTCGGGTTGAAATTTTTTAACTCAAGCGTAATCCAAGTACTAAAACCCCTAGTCCAAGCCCTAATTTTTTTCGAGTTGGGCTCGAGTTGAAATCGGATTAATTCACCCAAGTTGCAGCCCTAATAATGACAAATGCTACTGTTAGTCTGTCACTAACCCTGAATAGTGACAAACGTTAATTTCATCAATTACCCTGATTTTTCGTTTCACTTTTAGGCATCGACCATCTATAGCAAAATTTATTATGTTTATCAACATTTCATGGCGAATTACATGCCAAATACGTTTTTACAAAATACATCGATGAATGAGTAATTCATTTGAATGCAGCAAATTGAGCTGAGAGAGAGAGAGAGAGAGCGAGAGGTCTTAGGAACTGACCTTCTAAAACATGGTCTTCATTGCCAAAGCAAGGATTCCCATGTACATCATAGATTACTCTTTTACGAATTTCTTCAATCCATCACTTACACTGTACATCAAAAAAATTGATGAGAGATAAATTATCATACGTAGCTTCTTTAACTTTGACATATTTATTGAAGGAAGGAGAGAGAATAATTAAAAAAAAGAGAGAGGAGCAAGAAATAATGAGATGGAAGATAGAGGAGATAGAATGGGTGCGATGGAAGAAAGAGGAAATAAATGTTTTTAAATAATAGGTAGAATAGAGAATGACGGAAAAGAGACGTGAGAAATTGAATGGGAGAAAGAAAGAGATGATGTAGAGAGATAAATGTGATAATAAAGATAAGAAATATTTTAGTCATTAAAATATGAGAATAAATTTTTTATAGACAGCCAATCAAAATTTGACAGCTATACAAATTATTGGGAATCCTCAACATTGGTTTGTGTAATTGTCAAATTTTGATCGGTTGTTTGTAAACAATTGGTTTACAAAGATTTTATTCTCTAAAAATATATACTAATTAACTATTGTGCACCACATACCTTATATATTGCACATATATGTTCTTAATGACCCAATAAATACGCACATGTATTTATTGATTAAACAAATTATTCTTGGCTCTAATTTTTACTTTACATTATAATTGAGATCAGACTAACTCTCTCTTTCTCTCTCTCGCGCACACACATATTAAACTCAATCTGTTGTGTTTATTAAGTAGATTGAAATTGACCCCGTATATAAGAGAGTACAGTACCATAAGTCCAAATCACATCAATGTAAAATGAAATTTACCCATTATTGAAATATATTACTTTAACACACTCACTACTTTTATCTCTTTTGAAAAATTGAGCCAATATTCCTCACCACTTAGTGGTTCATGTTAGGGAGAAAGCATAAGGCATTTCAATGAATGGGGGCATATATTTCAATGGAATCCAGAACATTTTCACATTCCCAGCTGCTTTAAGCATCTCTTCTTTCATTCACTAAATTTTTAGCTCCTCCAAAGCATTCAAAACTCCATAATGCACCCCCCAACCACCACCTCTACTATTACTATTACTACCCCACAAACAATGGAGTCTTTTTTTTTTGATCCAAACAAACAATGGAAAAAATGAAAGGTAAAAATAAGGTTGATACCCGCGTTGAAATTTGAAAGTTCAAGTTGAGTCTGTCAAACTTGTTTTTTTTAAATAAGTCGAGTTTGAACCAAGGTCAAAACAAGCCGAACTTAAATAACTTAATTATTTTATATATATATGAATCAAAAACTCACCCNTTTTTTTTAAATAAGTCGAGTTTGAACCAAGGTCAAAACAAGCCGAACTTAAATAACTTAATTATTTTATATATATATGAATCAAAAACTCACCCAGTTAAAAAACAATCCAACTACATTCTCTCTCTTCCTTCAAGATTTGTCTAGATACTATCCATGTAAGATCTCAAAATAATTATGCACTCAAAAGACCCTCACACATACAATTAATCAAAAGAAAACAAAGCAAGAAATAAAATCAAGAAAATTAAAATATGAAATTGATGAAACAAGTCCATGCAATGTAAAAAAACAGGAATTCCCTTATCATAGGTGGTGTCCAAGAGTTAACAGGTAAAGAAGAAAGACATTTGCCAAATTTTTTAAAATCAAATTAAACTAATCTTATTATAATTTTAATTAAAATCAAATCAAATTAATCTTATTATAACTTTAATTAAATTATACCAAACTAACTAGAATACTCTTTCATCAAAACTCTTAAATCCATTAAAATTTTAATTACAAATTAATACCAAATATATAAAGGAGGAACCACATGCAAAGGAGTACTACTACAAGANTTCATCAAAACTCTTAAATCCATTAAAATTTTAATTACAAATTAATACCAAATATATAAAGGAGGAACCACATGCAAAGGAGTACTACTACAAGAACAACCCAAGAGCAACACAGCCAAGAACAACACAGAAAACTCTTAGCACTCTCTCTCTCTCTCTCTCTCTCACACACNGAACAACCCAAGAGCAACACAGCCAAGAACAACACAGAAAACTCTTAGCACTCTCTGTCTCTCTCTCTCNAAAATTTTAATTACAAATTAATACCAAATATATAAAGGAGGAACCACATGCAAAGGAGTACTACTACAAGAACAACCCAAGAGCAACACAGCCAAGAACAACACAGAAAACTCTTAGCACTCTCTCTCTCTCTCTCTCTCTCACACACACACACACACACAAACGGATACATGGGCCTCAAAGAGGTAGAAATAGATGGGAACAAACTGGTTGTTCACGAGCTCGAGGACGTGTGTGACTCAGTCACAGGCCGAGCACTCACCGGATCATGGGTATGGGACTCTTCCCTAGTCTTATCGGAGTACATGTCAACTCAGGGGCGATTCGNACGAGCTCGAGGACGTGTGTGACTCAGTCACAGGCCGAGCACTCACCGGATCATGGTTATGGGACTCTTCCCTAGTCTTATCGGAGTACATGTCAACTCAGGGGCGATTTGACTTCAACTTCGAAGGCAAAACTGTGCTGGAGCTCGGTGCCGGCACCGGACTTCCCGGCTTGACGGCGGCGAAACTCGGCGCGAGCCTGGTCATATTAACTGACGTCGAGCCCTTACTAGCAGGGTTAGTAAGAAATGTGGAGGAGAATGGTCTTCAAAACCGAGTTGCGGTGAGTAAACTCGTTTGGGGATCGGACGAGTTACCGAGTCGGATAGGTGGGTTGGGTGAGGTAGACTTGGTGCTCATGTCGGACGTGTTCTTTGGTGCGTCAGAGACGGTGGCATTGGCGGATACATTGAAGAGGGTTTGTGGGAAGGGGACGAGGGTATGGGCGGCAAGCGAGTTGAGGCCATGGACAACTAATGAATGTGTGAATGAGTTAATAAGTGAAGGGTTTGGAGTTGTTGAGTTGTCGAGTCAACTCGGCAATGGATTTGCTTCAGCGGGGAAAGACGACAGTTTTGATGTGTTTTCTGTTTTTCAGTTGGTCCTACCAAATCAAGATAAGGACCGTTTAGAAGAAGAATAAGACTGACTGTGCACCACTTCTTTTTCATCACTAGACGTGGCACAATCAGAAGCATCAAATATTTAATAAATTTTGTAAGACTTATTAATTTACCGATCTATGTTTAGATAATGCACAAAAATTGATGGGCAAGGCTCAATTCATGTTATAAGTTTAAGGGCCCAATTTCAAGAAGTCCAGCTAATCAAATCTAAAGGGATCTCTGCACTCGGTCAAGCTCATCAAGTTCTAAGAGTTACATCAGTAGAGGAGCAAACAGCACACATGGTCGTCTAAGAGCTTATCCAAGAACATCATCTACCATCTTAGAGCAAGGGTTACTCAAGAGCCTCTTCTACCATCTTGAAGCAAGGGTCATCCAAAAACCTCCTCTACTACCTTGGAGCAAGGGTCATCCAAGAACTCTTCTACCACTTTGAAACAAGGGACATCCAAGAGCTTCCGCTACCACCTTGGAGTAAGGGAGCATCCAGGAGTTTCACTCTTGCCGTTCAGAGAGAGTGAACCTTCCCTAATCCTTTGATTAAGTCTTTTGAAGAGCATCATAACTTCCTTGCCCGTTGAGGAGAGGAGAGGTCACCAAGCTATTTAATCACTGTTTAAGTCACCCTAATCCGTTATGACTATTAAACGGCCCTAACCCGTTTTGACCGTCAAATTAACTATTCAATTACTACACTAAGCCACTATAAATTGTAAGTCCCTCNATCAGTGAACTAGACGACTTCAGTCTCTCACAATTCTAAACATAAAGTTTTCAATGTGACAATCCATGATTCAAGACTTGCCATGCCAACTAAAAAGAACCCGTAAAAAAGGATTCAAGGCAAACCAATTTCATCACACTCTAAATACTCGGAGAAATTCAATAGTTAGCACTGACAAACACCTCTTAACATTACATCTTTCATTTTTATAACACGACGTAGAGTATACTTACATGTCAGAAATAGCTGGAAGGGTAAGGTGACTTCTTCCGGGTATGCTGTACAAAAGCTAGAGTCATAGTTGCTTCTTATGTAATGAGTTTTCCCTATATGCAGAACCATCGGATCTGATTCTTCAATAACCCACCCTTCTGATAAATCCATGGCATGTAATTCTCACTCCCAGGGTAACAATTATACCTNACATGGTCGTCTAAGAGCTTATCCAAGAACATCATCTACCATCTTAGAGCAAGGGTTACTCAAGAGCCTCTTCTACCATCTTGAAGCAAGGGTCATCCAAAAACCTCCTCTACTACCTTGGAGCAAGGGTCATCCAAGAACTCTTCTACCACTTTGAAACAAGGGACATCCAAGAGCTTCCGCTACCACCTTGGAGTAAGGGAGCATCCAGGAGTTTCACTCTTGCCGTTCAGAGAGAGTGAACCTTCCCTAATCCTTTGATTAAGTCTTTTGAAGAGCATCATAACTTCCTTGCCCGTTGAGGAGAGGAGAGGTCACCAAGCTATTTAATCACTGTTTAAGTCACCCTAATCCGTTATGACTATTAAACGGCCCTAACCCGTTTTGACCGTCAAATTAACTATTCAATTACTACACTAAGCCACTATAAATTGTAAGTCCCTCCAACACTTGGGGGGCATCTCACTCATTTGAGCATAACTCTCTCCTCCTCTCTCAAAGCTTGTAATATTTTGTTCTCCTTCCACACCGGAGATAATAAAAAATCGACGACCCTTGCCATTCAAAGTGGACGTAGGTTACATTGACCAAACAATTATAAACCTTGTCTTCTCTCTCCCTCTACTTATTTTACTGCATTTTATACTGCATACTTGACAGGTGGTATACAAACTAATTTGTGCATCATCAAAAATGATATAAAAAATTTATGTATATAACATTATTGTTAGAGAAATGGTCACCAATTTTGGCATTGTTTATTACTTTTTTTTTTTTTTAAACTCANTGTAATTCTCACTCCCAGGGTAACAATTATACCTTCTCTTCGAAAGGTTCAAAACTTCAAGAAGATGATTGGGTTTATACTTCTCTTGCTCAGTGCTGTATGTGCCACCCTTGTTTCCCCCGAGACCCNCTTCTCTTCGAAAGGTTCAAAACTTCAAGAAGATGATTGGGTTTATACTTCTCTTGTTCAGTGCTGGATGTGCCACCCTTGTTTCCCCCGAGACCCAGCTTTTTTTTAATCTGAATCAAACTATCTGATTCCAATCATTCAGAATCATGCTGGAAGGGTAGTATCATCAACCCAACCACAATTATTTGCAAATCCTTACTGCATCTTCGGGCAAATAATAGTCATACAAGATGGCACAAACCAAATTGCTGGATGCAAAGGCTACAACCCAATTCACACACAAGTCTCAAAATCCCTCAACCATTGTAGTGGAGTTTCTGATTTTGAGAGGCCTGTACCTGCTGGGCTTGCTGCTGTGGATCCTGCATGTTTAATGGCTGTGTGTTGTAGTGGGCAAAGGGCTGGGAGTAGAGAGGATTCAACAAACCCTGTTGACAAGTTAAAAATTTAATGAATCATTCTAACGGAGAGGGATTATAACCAGTACTAACGTCAAAATTATCGAAAAGGGATGATACAGGAACATTTGCAACAAGTGAATTCCCCCCAAACTCCTGAAATATTTGTTTGCAAACAGGCAAAGGACAGGATTCTGCCCATTTAAGAAGGGGGGCTTCACCTGGTGTATATTTCCTATGCACAGCCAACTTGATAATTCTACCAACATTTTCTCTATAAGCCAGTATTACTAAGGGATGAAACCTGAGACTGAAGTTGATTGGCATTGGCCACACCAAAGTGGCTTTGTGAAGCATCATCTTGTGATGGATCATTAAATCCAACCTGCGTAAACAAACCTTGTGAACCATGAGCCATGTAGTCCTGTGGAAGCCATTCAAAAGAGTCGGACCAAACATAAAGATAACAAAGAGTGCAAAAATAAGTTTCACTCTGCCTGGTTAAGGGAGTACATATCATGTACAACTGGTATTGTGGGCTATTTTCACTAAATACTATGCCATGCAGAGCTGCAGAAAGTATATAGTCTATTTTTTTTCCTTTTTTGGGATCCAAAAACAACTTCATTTCTCACAACAGAACTTCTCAGGCAAAACCCAAAACTTGTTTCGGGATTAGGGCACCTTTCTATTTTTAACGTGAACGTGTTTTCTTTTAATCATTGCCCCTTCCCTTTGGGATAAAGAAAAGGAAGCTTGTAGAAACAAGTTCAACCAACCTGAGACATGAAATCATTTCCTGCACCAAAGCGAGAATATCCAGCTTGAGAATTATGGCTTAGGAAGCTTCCAGGGAAACCACCTTGTGCCCCCTGAGTAACATAATCAACAGCATATCCACTTTGAGATGCCTGTATAGCAATGAAATCGAAAGTTCAATTTGAAAACCAGTGGTTAAATAATTGCCTGAGGAACGAATCAATACAAAATCACATTACTGAATTTTCTTTTCATTCTGATTTAGAATTATGGCAAATGTGGAAGAAGACACAGGTATATGAATAGTTCTGCAACTTGTACCTGTGTGGAGAAGTCAGTAACGTTATATGGAACGTGCGAGCCCTGACTTTTGAAATCATCACCCAAAAAATCCTGATTGATGGTCAAAATAGATGGATGTCTAAGCAGTGAACATCAAGAATTAAAATAAAACAACTACCAATTTGATCATTCCAAAATCAATTACCTGTGACATTCCACCAATAGAGAACCCATCACGAAATGTTTGACTTGGACCTTGAACTGTCATCTGCTTTATACAACAGAAATAGTTTTACGTCTCCAATGTGACGAATTCACAGAAATTTAATAAAATAAATGAACAGTACAACTAACATTAGAAACATATCCAGGTTGAGATAATGGTCCACCCACAGATGGCTGGCTATTTGGATTCTCCAAAGCTGGATAGTTGAAGTTAGACCCAAGACTTCCAACGGGTTGCTGGGAGCTTTGCTGGTGTACAAGATGACTGCCAATAGGAGTACTCACATTCCCACGCCCTGCCCCAAAACCCCGGCTTCCAGGCTGAGGAACATGTGGTACAGCTCCAACAGGTCCAAGCACAGCACGTGTAGGAATAGCATAAGGCTGAGAAGGAGGGCCACCATGATAAGGTGAAAGGGGAACCCGAGGCATTGGATAACCAGCGGGATGCAGTCCAGGTTTAGGTGTACCATTGGGTGGCCCTGGTGGCATGAAAGAACCTGGCATTTAAATAAGTAAATTTTCATCAGCTATAATGAAATATAAATATAACTAAAAAACACAAAACCAAAAACCATATCACCAGCTTAGACAACATACTAAATATAGCATGCTCATATCCATTTGGGGGTTATTCTGGTACTTATTGCAGAAGTGAAAATATTTAAGATCCAACTATTCCAGATCTAACATACCCCTAGAACGACTGCTCCTCCTATCAGGATTTGGGCTTGAGGAGGCAACAGACCCAAAAGTATCATTAGGAACTATTCCTGGTCCACCGCCAAAGAAAAGCCTGCGATCATTGTAAATCTGTTCTCACAAACCATAAACCCATGTCAGATGTATCCACGAGAAATGATTCAGAGTCGTAACAAAAGTAAAACTTCTGTTTTTTTTTTGGGGTGTTTTGTTTGATTCCCCCCCTTTTTTTTTGTCGGAGGGAGAGAACGGGGAAGAAAGAAAAAAGGGGGGGGGGGGTGGGGGCAGTAATCCTTCATCCAAAGCCATACCTTTTTGGGCTTCTGAAATTGAACCATACTCTGCTTTAAGTTATTAAGAGGTCCTTCCACCAAGCATTCATGCTCCTGATTGAATGATTCCAATAAAGGAATCAGGGAGTAAGGAAATCAGAAGGTGGCACAGGAGGTAACAAAATTACAAACACACACATCCTCTATCAATACCAGTTATCTATATGGCTTTCTCAGGAAGCCCAACAATAAGAATGAAGACTAATGACAAGTTGGAAGTCACAAGTAGTAGCCTAAAACAATATCTGTGCAAAATGCAAGCCAACTGAAACAATATAAATTGGTCTGCTTCAACTGTACGAACCATAATCCCACTCAGATTCGAACATTAATTAGTGCAAACCAACAGGAAGAGCTGAAAACAAAGCACGACAGATACCTTGTAGTGTGTCAATAAGCCGTTCCACAATGGCTGTTTGCTGAGAACTTTAGGATTCCCCAGAATGACAATACCATAACGGGCACGTGTGAGTGCAACATTAAGCCTGCGTGGATCATTCAGGAATCCAATACCCTGTGTAAAAAGGAGCCAGCTATCGAGCATCAGCTTCTCATCATGTACACATGAACTTACTGTGCCAAAACAGTAAGCTCAATATATGAAAATTTGATGGCAAAGTATTTGACGAGCTTTGCAAATAATTAAAGAGAATGAAGACCATTCATCCAACATCCAGTTCTCGTGAGAAAAAATAAAAAACAATCTTAACAAATTTGCTTCTACCATTTTAATATGATACGTTCTGAGAAAGAAGAAAGAAATTTACACCTTCAGTGCACTGCCTTTTTCAAAGCTAGTACTATTCCCAATTCAAGACAGCAATCAATTGTCAACCCCAAAAACACTCATTAGGAGAAGAAAACACACGTAAGATCACCTGAAAATTCTTAAAATGATAAACCATGGTGGATCATGAGCGAAGAAAGGAAAAGTGGAAAGGACACAATAATATTTGGAAAAAGTAAATTGGCTAGTTCAGACAATTCAGCAAGCGCCTCATTGACTTGATACCATCCAGCCAATTTAACGAATTGTCATGTTAAAAACATCAAACAATTGACAAGCAGCACCAAATTGCAAGAGCAAGAATAGTTCTTGTTTTCCTAAGCTGTCTTACTAATGTGGATTAATTATAGTATCATGAATACATATATACAACAATTACAACACTGCATCCAAGATTACTAGTCCCAAAACAATACAGTCAAAAGCGGCTTACGGGAAAATATAGCAATCATATCAAATATAAAACCAGTGGTATTTAAGCTGATGCCTGGTATTAATCAATACAACCAAAATTGAACTCTTAATAGTAGACTCTTAAAAAAATAAGAAATCCATTAGAAGAAAAAACAACATACCTGATGCTCGTTACTCCTCACACAAGATAAAATAATGTAATCCTTCTCCCTTCCTTGGAATGAATCTACACTTGCAACCTAAAAAGAGCAAACATACTACTGAATTTTCCTTGAACAATCATACTGTATCTGCATCCAGCAAGTATGATTTTTATTACCTCAATTTCCTTGTAAAGTTGCTGCCTTAATGCACCATTTCTCGACATATAGTTAACAATGTATGCCCGCTGGCCTTCATATGGTGTTATCACCCCTATCTGTATAACATCGAGCATGATCCAAATTTTACACCACCTTTTGGTAAGTCGTGTGACTGTGTGTTGGTTTTTTTTTGTTTTTTGGGGAGGGGGTCCATCAATAGAATCTGAGCAGCAGATAATACCTGACTAGGGACTACTCCACTCCTTAAGAAAGTAGTCACAATTTTTTCAACATTTGCAGCCTCAGTCCTATTCAAATAGGATGTTCCACTGGCACTTATTTCTTCTTGTCCCATCTATAAAAACAAGAAATTCAAAAGACAGAATTTGACCAAAAAAAAAAATGAGGAAAAAGGGACAAGTGGGGAATCCCACTAGCCTGCTTGCAATCCACCAAGATTTATTAAATTGCTTCTGAGAGAAATAGTAAAACACCATGCACTTGTAAATTGGTTTTGAAAAAATGCAGCTCGATGCATAATTTTAATTTTTCACTCTTCTGCTAGTAATGCTGGATTCAACAAGTAGTTATGGAAAAGGCAATTTAGCGCAACATGGTAACAGCATTGATAAGCTTTTAGTTCAAAATCCAAGGGGTCAAAATATTACTGTCATATATGTGATCCAAGTCCAAGGCAATATATGTAATGAAGAAACACAATACCTGGACATAGAAGAACATGGGACGGTTTGGCACGGGCCAAGGAAAATCAATGCCTGGCGATTGCCTTTCATTGATGGTTACTCCATTTTGAAGAGTGCCTTCGTAAAAGCTGTTTGAAGGGAATTCTGAAAGCGATGGATGCATGCGATATTGAACCTGGAATTTACAAGGAAAAGATATGGCCAGTGAGGATCACCACATTTTCTAGAAGTAAAAACTTATATTAAAACAAAAACTCCAGAGGTTTGCAAAGGTGTACAAGGACAACACATGATTTGACAACCTGCAATCAGGTCCACTATTTAGCCCTGGATTTTTTGTGATTTTATGTGAATAACAAAGGTAAACTTACTTTGTTTCATCTTTTAATCTCTGGAAAAAAAAAAAACCATAAAGTTAAATGCCACTTTGCTTTTCATTGGGCCAGGACTCCCAACCAAATAAAACTAATAAAGATGGAAGAGGAAATTCTGAGAACTTCATAAAATAACTCCAATTGTTGGAACACAGCTGGACGAACTCATAAAAAGATAAGAGGTAGCATTAAATAACTTAGTTTCATGTAAACAACGACAGAAGTTGATGTTCAAAGACCTCCCCCCCAAACACACACAAACAACAACCCCTTCTCCTCAGCTTTTCTCTTGTAGCAGGCATAGACACACATGCAAGCAATGACAGCCCTATCACCTGTAATCTAATTGGTTTCACTCCAAGCAGCACAAGGCGTTCAAACAGAGACTGGGCTAGCCCAGCACGGGCTGCTTTCTTGCACATAATGACAGGACCAAGCTGGCAATGGTCACCAACAAGCACAACCTGAAATAGTACCTCATATTAGAAGACAAAGCAAAGAATGAGGCACAATGTAGCATTTACAATAATTTCAGCAGCTACCTGCTTCACACCAAGAACCAATGGAATAAGACACTCAGGCTCAGTTGCTTGAGTAGACTCATCAATGAGCACCTATAAAGAGGTAATGTAAAGTGAACCACTAAAAACAATAAGGTGTGCTTTCTTCGAGGGATCACTGAGCTAAATTGGTACCAAACGTTAAATTAGAAATAATTAAACCTGGCGAAATCTAAAATTTGCCAATCGAGGATCTCCAGCACCAACACATGTGCAACAAATAACATCAGCACTCTGACAAATCTCCCTCTCTGTTGCCCTCTTCAATGCTTTATATTTTTTCTCATCACTGCTCGACAATTCTCCTGTAAAACTTAAGAGATTAGGGAAAAGATGGTTATTCTACTACAAATCCAAATAACAACATGAAATAATATCAGCACACTTATAGAAGCAGCCATTAAGTTTAATTGCAAAGCAGTTTGTTAGACTATTCAAACAAAAAAAGAAGATTTGTGTGCCAATCATAATCCAGCTATATCACTAATTTTCTCATTTCCTATAAAATAAAAAAATTCCAGTGCTAATTAGGTGGTTCAAAACAAAACGCAAAATTACAGAAACGGTCAAGAACTGCATCCAAAAAGAATTCAATAGTTGCCACATTCATTTAATATTATTATTATTATTATTATAGGAGCTCACAGAAATGGTCAAGAACTGCATCCAAGAAGAATTCAACAGTCCACATTCATTTATTATTATTATTATTATAGGAGCCACATTCACTATCTTGATTGGCATTCATTCCAACAAGGAGAACTTATAAAAAGAACAATACCATATAATGTGAATGAATTGAAGTGCTAAGAAACCTTCAACTTATCAATAACCCTAAAAGAGCATACAACAAAAAATAACATTAGACTCCAACGAATCTCAGGCTAGGAACCAAGAGATGTGCATATCAGTCACCATAGGTAAAACCAATGCTAGGGCAAGGTAAATATCATCGGACACTTTTCAGACTCTGGCCAGCAACAATACACCTCATCCAAACAAGAAGAATACAACATTTGTAAAATTTACAATTACAAGTACTTAGAACTTGTTGATGTACCTAAGGCCAAGCTTCGCCAGCCTGCATTCATGGCAGCTCAACACGTATGCAGTATNAAAAAAAAAAAACCATAAAGTTAAATGCCACTTTGCTTTTCATTGGGCCAGGACTCCCAACCAAATAAAACTAATAAAGATGGAAGAGGAAATTCTGAGAACTTCATAAAATAACTCCAATTGTTGGAACACAGCTGGACGAACTCATAAAAAGATAAGAGGTAGCATTAAATAACTTAGTTTCATGTAAACAACGACAGAAGTTGATGTTCAAAGACCTCCCCCCCAAACACACACAAACAACAACCCCTTCTCCTCAGCTTTTCTCTTGTAGCAGGCATAGACACACATGCAAGCAATGACAGCCCTATCACCTGTAATCTAATTGGTTTCACTCCAAGCAGCACAAGGCGTTCAAACAGAGACTGGGCTAGCCCAGCACGGGCTGCTTTCTTGCACATAATGACAGGACCAAGCTGGCAATGGTCACCAACAAGCACAACCTGAAATAGTACCTCATATTAGAAGACAAAGCAAAGAATGAGGCACAATGTAGCATTTACAATAATTTCAGCAGCTACCTGCTTCACACCAAGAACCAATGGAATAAGACACTCAGGCTCAGTTGCTTGAGTAGACTCATCAATGAGCACCTATAAAGAGGTAATGTAAAGTGAACCACTAAAAACAATAAGGTGTGCTTTCTTCGAGGGATCACTGAGCTAAATTGGTACCAAACGTTAAATTAGAAATAATTAAACCTGGCGAAATCTAAAATTTGCCAATCGAGGATCTCCAGCACCAACACATGTGCAACAAATAACATCAGCACTCTGACAAATCTCCCTCTCTGTTGCCCTCTTCAATGCTTTATATTTTTTCTCATCACTGCTCGACAATTCTCCTGTAAAACTTAAGAGATTAGGGAAAAGATGGTTATTCTACTACAAATCCAAATAACAACATGAAATAATATCAGCACACTTATAGAAGCAGCCATTAAGTTTAATTGCAAAGCAGTTTGTTAGACTANGGAAAAGATGGTTATTCTACTACAAATCCAAATAACAACATGAAATAATATCAGCAGACTTATAGAAGCAGCCATTAAGTTTAATTGCAAAGCAGTTTGTTAGACTATTCAAACAAAAAAAGAAGATTTGTGTGCCAATCATAATCCAGCTATATCACTAATTTTCTCATTTCCTATAAAATAAAAAAATTCCAGTGCTAATTAGGTGGTTCAAAACAAAATGCAAAATTACAGAAACGGTCAAGAACTGCATCCAAAAAGAATTCAATAGTTGCCACATTCATTTAATATTATTATTATTATTATTATAGGAGCTCACAGAAATGGTCAAGAACTGCATCCAAGAAGAAGTCAACAGTCCACATTCATTTATTATTATTATTATAGGAGCCACATTCACTATCTTGATTGGCATTCATTCCAACAAGGAGAACTTATAAAAAGCANTATGGCCTGACAAGTTGAGCACAGTTCGCCAATTTGCAAGCATATAAATATAGAAATATGCAAAATCATTGTGTTGATCGAGTAAAAAATCCCTCCATCTAAACCCTATAAATGGCTTGAGACCTAAGAAAACATAACAGCAATTCTAGCCTGAAATCACACAATGAACAAAGAAAGTAGCGCCTAACTCCAAAATTTTAAGGCTATCAAGCAAGAAATAAAAAAGGGCATCAGACATGAGTGAAACCCACAGCTCAGAAAATCAACAATCTCCACGCTCTTCAACATCAGCTGTAAGAGAGAGACCTGATTATGGCCACAGAACCTCCAATCAAGACAAGCAGAAACAGAAACAAAAAGACTAACCTTGTTCATCTTTCAGTTGCTGTAACTTGTGAAGTTCACTCTTCTCTGATGTGTCTAGATGTCGAACCTGCAAAATCAATGCAAAAGATGCACAATATGGCAATACTCCGAACAAAAGCATATAAATATGAGTGTAAACATAAGAACAAACCTGATAGTGAAGAGTTAAGTGTTCAATAGGAGAACTAACAGCTTCCCTGGACTTCGCACAGAGTCTAACAACCTGGCAGGAAATTTATTAGTGCAAACAAAAATTATAAACATGAACACAGAGATTATGGAAACTCATACAGCAAAACAATCTGACAGNTGATAGTGAAGAGTTAAGTGTTCAATAGGAGAACTAACAGCTTCCCTGGACTTCGCGCAGAGTCTAACAACCTGGCAGGAAATTTATTAGTGCAAACAAAATTTATAAACATGAACGCAGAGATGATGGAAACTCATACAGCAAAACAATCTGACAGACGTACGGACTTCAAGACATATTAAAATATCACAATACACAACATAGAAAATATATTGCTGAAAATTGTGGCTAAATATTAGACAAAAATGCCAGGATAATACGCTTCCACATCAACCAGCACCTGACGGTTCAATTTTTTTGTTAATTCCATTTTATAAGGCTATTCCAAATTAATTTGAAGGAACACCCTTCTTCAAACACTTCAGCAAAAGCATCACTACAAGTTTCAAGTAAGGATACATTTGTTTTTTTTAATGCTTAAATGGAGAAATCCCATATGCTATATGTCTCTTCAAGAATGCTTGTCAGATCACCTAATCCAAATTAACACAATATGATTTTATATTGGCGACAATTTAACCTCTAAAAAGTTTCCAATTACAAGTGAAAAAAACTACATCAAGAGAACTTAATTTCTTTAAAAAAAAATTATAAAAAAAAAGAACATTTGTTCTGTCACATCAAAAAGCAGCACAACAAAGACATAAACCTAGTCAGAAAGTTAAATGTTCAACTTTTGTTCTGTTACAAAAAAGCTAGGTCTCTGGCAAATTTCTCCACGATACAACAGTTTTAGGAGCCTAACGNATGTCGAACCTGCAAAATCAATGCAAAAGATGCACAATATGGCAATACTCCGAACAAAAGCATATAAATATGAGTGTAAACATAAGAACAAACCTGATAGTGAAGAGTTAAGTGTTCAATAGGAGAACTAACAGCTTCCCTGGACTTCGCACAGAGTCTAACAACCTGGCAGGAAATTTATTAGTGCAAACAAAAATTATAAACATGAACACAGAGATTATGGAAACTCATACAGCAAAACAATCTGACAGACGTACGGACTTCAAGACATATTAAAATATCACAATACACAACATAGAAAATATATTGCTGAAAATTGTGGCTAAATATTAGACAAAAATGCCAGGATAATACGCTTCCACATCAACCAGCACCTGACGGTTCAATTTTTTTGTTAATTCCATTTTATAAGGCTATTCCAAATTAATTTGAAGGAACACCCTTCTTCAAACACTTCAGCAAAAGCATCACTACAAGTTTCAAGTAAGGATACATTTGTTTTTTTTAATGCTTAAATGGAGAAATCCCATATGCTATATGTCTCTTCAAGAATGCTTGTCATATCACCTAATCCAAATTAACACAATATGATTTTATATTGGCTACAATTTAACCTCTAAAAAGTTTCCAATTACAAGTGAAAAAAACTACATCAAGAGAACTTAATTTCTTTAAAAAAAAATTATAAAAAAAAAGAACATTTGTTCTGTCACATCAAAAAGCAGCACAACAAAGACATAAACCTAGTCAGAAAGTTAAATGTTCAACTTTTGTAATGTTACAAAAAAGCTAGGTCTCTGGCAAATTTCTCCACGATACAACAGTTTTAGGAGCCTAACGGCAGTGCATCCTGTTACATCATTCACACTTGTCTACGATTAACTTCCATTCCTATCATATCAGCTCGAGACAGTCAATTGTACTGAAAGACCACAACTAGTTTAATAGAAATTTCCACATCAAACCTCATGAACATTTGTCACTCTTCTAGTCCCCACTAATGAGGGTGCTGGAAAGGGTGGATTGGGTACAGAACTAACCTTTGACATCATTCGCAGCGGTTGTCCTCATATTTGGACACACAACCGTGTGACCACTAGCCCACATATATAATCACTGCACTAGGAAATGACCCCAACACACATTCATGTCCAACATAATGAATATGACAGAGACAATAATTATCCCCATTGTTTCAGAGAAACCGAGACAAACTAGGCAAATGCATGTATCACCAACCAACCAGAACTATTATATACTAAGACAAAACAGTAAGGAATTAAGGATTGAACCCCACACCCCAAAACAACCTCAGGTATCTGCTACCAGCACGCTAGGACAACTTTGGCGCAAAGCATATAATGTTAGTATAGCAGCAGGTAAAAGTCTTTACCTTTAAGCCAGTGGCACTTATCTTCTCAGCTAGTTGGTCAACAGCCACATTACTTGGAGCACAGACCAAAACCTGACTTGGAAATAAAAAAAAGCAAATTGTCAGAAAACATTAAATGATTCAAAATGCAAAAGATGAATGAGAAGTTAAGAATGTTAGTTATTCACCTGCCCTTGTCCTTGTTTGGCCATATGGTATACAATTGCCGCAGACGTGACAGTTTTCCCAGTACCAGGTGGACCTTGAATCAGACTTATTGGCTTCTGTAGAACACTTTTTACAGCAAAAACCTATAAAATGAATCAAGCAAGTCAGGACCAAGCAGAACAATATTATACTATCACCTAATTCCTCAATAGCAATGGAATGTAAAATTTAAGGCAAGCTTCATTTTATCCCCACGTGGTTAGGCCCTTTTGCAAATCACCTCCCTCATCTTTAAAAATAGCTACATAACCATCCTAAGGGGGTTTAGATGCAGTTTATATCATTATAAAAATTATTCAATTTCCTATTTAAAATATTAACAAAACATATTACTAACCAAAGAAAAAAGACAGAAATGTCCAAAACACATAAAAGAGATAAGACTTATTAATACAATAAAAGGAAACGAGCTCTAGAACCCAGATTTCAATTCATACATAGACTGAGAGAGAGGAAAACATATAAGAGGGTAAACTGCTTTGCGATCAGAGCACCAAGCCGACAAGCGGCCGCAAACCTGGAGTGACCTGCGATCATAACTAGTGCACGATCACAGCTAGTTGTGAAGACAACAAGAAGAAAAGGAGGAGGGAACCTATTTCGCACTGGCTTCAATTTTACTAGTATGGTTTCAATTGCTCCTTGAAATATGATAGGATACTGTGGGTGAACAAATGACATATTATTGCTGTGATTCAGCTATGCATGTGGGTTTTACACAGAATAGATTAGTTTTCATGGGGTCTCGATTGCTTCTTCCTTGCTTGTCTCTCCTCTGCTTTTCTTATGAAGCCTTTTGTTTGTTGTTTCATGTGGGTCTGCAACTCCATTGCGACTCATCCAACTCAGTTACGATTTGAATCAAAGTCTCACCGATTCTACCATGTTGTGTTCCCGTTTCAAGGTCATTTCTCGTAAGACTCATGGATTTTGTAGAACTTGTACCATTATCAGTTCGGTAGCAACCGAGTCGGATTAGATTTAGACTCGGTCAATACTTTCAACCCTAATGAAAACCAAACATGTTTGTGGTTTTAAAAAAAACCATAAGTATTTAATAAAAAACGCTATTTTATAATTTGTTCAAAAAAAAGAATGCAAAAACCCAACCAAACAAGCCCTAAACTAACACAAAATGTCAATCAAATTGATATAACTAAAAGGCATAAAGTAAGAACCACTTACTTGGGATGCATTAAGCTCTGGAAGGCCTGGTGCACCAAAACGACGAGGAAGAGTATTACGGACCATCTGAACCTCAACTTCATGGCCTAACAAGTGATGGTAAATATATCTGCATAGAAGGCAACAATTAACAAATATCAACAATTTCAGTTGCAAAGAAAACTTAATCTTAAATACAGACAAGAATTTGACTTATGGACTCGCAATCAAAATGGAAATTCGCCCACTTGCTCAACATCTGTGCAAATACAGCTCCCACTATTCTAATCCAATTAAACAAATTGGTTTCAGGACCAAAGTTGAACTCAGATCTGGTAAGCTGAGCTGCAGCCAAAATCACTCTAGGAGATATGGCATGTCACAGACTACTCTGATTGCAAACACATATGAAAAAATTATGTGACTTTGCAGCTACAATTCTTNATTGGTTTCAGGACCAAAGTTGAACTCAGATCTGGTAAGCTGAGCTGCAGCCAAAAATCACTCTAGGAGATATGGCATGTCACAGACTACTCTGATTGCAAACACATATGACAAAATTATGTGACTTTGCAGCTACAATTCTTTTTTCTATTTTCTTTTTCTGTTTTAGCTTCAAAACTTACGACAGCTTAAGTTCGTATCAGAATTTCAGCTTGGCTGCAAGGAATTTCAATCAATTAAACATTTTGGCAACTAAAATACATCAGGATAATGCGCATTCCAGTGTAAGCCAATCTGGAATGAGGCAACGCAAAATGTGCCAGCTTTCCCTCTCAACTGAAGGTAAGAATTATATAACTTCTGCTAACAAAATCATCAAATATTGCACTTTTCAAGTCCCAACACCTAAAGATAGTACAGAAAACTTTAGACACCTTAAACTATAGTTAAAAGCAAATTAGAAATTGACATTGACTTCAGACAGCTACTGCCAATATTTACTAACATGTCAGGAAAAAAAAAAAGCAAGACTTGAGATAGCCACCGAAAGATAACAGCTCAGTGGTAAATTTTTATAAACAAAAGAAATTCAGTATCAAACAGCGGCCAACCAACCCGCTAACACTTGTTTCATCAACAGCATATGTTTTCATTGCCCCTTGCATCCGATCAAAACTTGTACTCTTCCAAACAAAATCAACACTAAAACCATGGTTCAGATCAACTGGTACACCCTGCCAGTAACATCAACATTAAAGGCGAACAGATGCAATCACAAAAGAATTAAAAACACCAGCAATTCTAACTGAAGCTACCTGACCAGCGCGAAGTTCAAGTGCAACCTCCTCTTGTGCAGTAAGTTTTACCTGAAACAACAATTGGATCCATCATTCAACCAAATCTTGTACAAGAGACAAATGAAGACATTCATCCAATAATTAAATTATTTATGCATCACGCACACACTCATGTCCCAAACAGGATGAAAACTCTGCACCTGCACCTCCCTTGGGAGGATGGCATGATACACCACTCAAGCTAACAGATGGATGGTCCACTTGACAAACATGTCTTAAATGAAATAAACGTAAAATATAATCTTAAGAAATGAAGTAAGTGACACAGCGGCTAATAACTCTAGCTGAACTGAAAAAAATAAAATAAAGAGGAACAAAATTTGATGTCAAATTCCAACTCCAGAATATTTCCCCTACCACATGTCCCACTGAATGCCAAGCTGGATGAACTGCATCTCCTGGATAACGCAACCGCAACTCATCACCAGGAACAAGACGCAACTCATTATCTTCCTACAACACAACAAGTGCTATTCACTTCAACACATTTTTCACTGTGTTCTACTGCAAACCAAAGCTGGATGGTGATAATGAATGCAATAATGTAATTCAGAAAATGAAACTACCACAACACCAAAAAAGGAAAGTAAAGCACCTTGGGAAAAACAAAATATGCAATACGCTTCTTGTTGAGACCAATATCCCATCGGATTGTCATGTTGTCCTTGCTTTGAGATTCTTTCATCATCTACAGAAAATCAAATTAAAGTCATAAAATACAGTATTTCTACAAGCACAAATTTCACCCAAAAAAAAAAAAGAAAAAGAAAATTTTCAATGCGAACCATTTGCTCAAGGGAAAAATGACAAACTACTAATAGGTCGGACTTTTAATGCCTCGCAAGATTAGATTAAAATTTCCCATAATTGAAAAAAAAAAAAAGAAAAAAGAAGGGAACAGTGAGAAATGGAGGTGGGGTAGAACAAAATTGTCAAATGTTATGCATACAACATACCTTGTCGTAGTCAGCTTCAAGCTTTATCAGGGGGGCAAATACATTTTGATACTACAAGAAACAGAGCAATAACACCTCATTAGTAAATACTAAAGATCATTCAAATACAATAGCAACTTCCTCCACAATGTTTCAATGTTCTAAATCAGAATTGTAAAACACCATTATCATGTACTGTAGGCCAAACATTGAGAACTGAGGCACTGTATAGTATAGGCACCTGATATGCATCTTCATACTTCACAGCTACAGACTGAGGTTCATCATCAACACCAGGCTTCTCGAGATCCTCCAAGGTAGCGTCAGGATTTGTCTTCCAAAGTTCTTCAACTTTATTAATTTGTTGAGCACTGATCTGGCGTGCCCTCAACTGCTCCTGTTCAGATGGGACCTGAAAATTTGCAACTAATCAGCAAATTCAAGACAGCATATTAAACCCTAGTGGAAAAAAAAATTTCATAAAAAATGACAATAAATATACCAACCTTGACAAGCCACTGCAAGAAGCATCTATCATCTATAAGGGGACACCACTGACTCAAGTCCCAATTCATGTCCTTCAAGGCATTAACACTTAGACAAGGTTCCCTGCAAAGAAGGACAACAACACTCTCTGCCTTGGCAGATATGAACCCAAGAAGGAACACATTTCGGCATCCACAATTGTAACATTCGAGGATTGTTTCTCCCAGGGGACTATCTTTATGAAGACACACTTCCTTGTGTTTAGCACGCACCTAGAAAGACAAAAACAGAAACCACCAATTCAAATGTTACCAGAGAGCTATGATTATTCATCTATTAAACACTTTGAATGTTTCGTTCTGCAGAGAAAACGGATCCCAAAAATTGCCATGGACCAACAAAAAACAATGTAAGGCATTAACCACAACTAACCAGGAGATCAAACATCAAATGCAGACACTGCATGAAATGAATGAAATAAGAATGTACTACTATGCTTGAGAGCTATAAAGTATCAGGCTAAAAGCTATTGAAAACTAAAGTCGCCCTTGAATGCCAAACAAGCAAACTTGATAACTAAAACACTTTATATTTAATGATTGACTGCCAGAGTTCCCTAACTTTAAGGGCATTAAAAGCCTAATAAAAGCAACTGAGTTAAATTTAGGTGATATCAAATGGAACAAAATGGGATTGGCAGTGATTGCCTTTAGAAAAATTTATAAAAAAATCTGCAATTTAACTTCATCTCCTAATAATTAAAGTTTTCTTAGAAGAACAAAGTTCTCTATAGCTCTATCGGAAGGATCAAAGTTTCGTTTCTTTTCCACCGAAATGGAATGAACGGTTATGTTTGCTTGGAAACCAAAATGAATTAGTGATTGAATTTGAAATGTCAATGTTTTGAGATATTTAAAGGTGTATTTGTATATTTCAACCAATTTTTCAACATGTCTTGGAGACAATTTTTTCAAATTTTTTATGTTTTTATTAGGTTTCTGAACCGAAATGTTTTGTAAGCGTTTCGGTTTCCGAGCGGACCGAAACAATGCTTTTGAAACGAAATTTAGATCTTTGCTCTATAGATGAAGAAAGAGGTTGCAAGTATATTCGGTGTAAAAAAAACCCTTAAAATCCCGACTTGAAAAAAGAGGAGCCAACTCAATCCTAGAAAGCTACCGTCCTTGATAAGCCATGATAAAGTCGAATTCACACTATTTCTCAAGAAACAAATCCAAATAAATCAATCAGATTTGCACAGTCTTTGCACAAATCTCTGTTTCACCTACTCCAACAAAAACTAAATCAGTCACTTTAAGAAATCCCGAGTAATGAAAAAAGTAATGGCCGTACACACAACGTGAACCTTAGAATGTAAAGACCATAGAATTCTTTCCACATATTTCAAGTAAAATTAAGTCTCTCAAAGTCCAATCTATGTGACATCTTCCATCCACATACTTTAATTTGTGCGAAAGAGAAAAGTGCCCAAAGGATAGCCCCTGTGCATAGATGCAACCAGTTCCCACTCATTTCCATGAATAACATAACTAGACTTAGTTCTGTCAATATACATGGGGACAATTTATTATCTTCAACTAAAGAAACTCCATCCCACATCACAATATCAAATATAACAGGAAGCTCCAAACTTTGTAGGCCAATTCATGTGTTTCTAATAAAAGTTTCTACTACCTCATCTTCAACAAAATGTTTTGCACATCTACTTAAGGAAATAATGAAAATTTGATAAAGACAACAAGTTTTCCTATTTAATGCATTACATCATGTGTTGTTGCTGATAACCTAACAAACTAGTGTCCAAACCTGAAGGATTGTGACTCTAAGGATCACATGGGAAATATAAATCACATTTACCAATGCAACGCCTGGGTATGCAGTTATGATTGGTCAAAGTTTGGAAGCCCTATCGGGTTAAATTAGTGTCCAAAATTGAAGGATTTTGACTAATACTAAGGATCACCATGTTGCAAAGGATGGAACAATTTGACGTAGATAGGTAGAAAAGATCCCATAAATCAGTTAGTCATCTACCTCCACATGCCACCTCATGATTGGAAATACCAAACAAAGCAATGAAAGCTTCTTTATGAACCATGTCTATAGGAAATTCCAAGGTGTTTTTGTCAGATTTCAGCAGGATTGGAAATCGGTTCTATTCTAGTTTTCCATTCCAGGATTTCTATACTTTATATTGCTCTTTCTGTCTTCTGAGGACATATTGCGGTCCACCTGTATTGGTTTTCCCTATTATATCTCTGAATAATATTTAAACTTTTTCCCAATCTTAAAAAAAAAAAACATAAAAGTAATAACTCGTCATGTCGAAGTCCAGTCCAGCATAGTGAAAAGAAGACTTCTAGGTAGGGGCAGATCTAACAAGTAAGAGACAAAAAATTTGGCGGAACCATTGAGACAGAGAAATTACTTTTTGAACAGTTGTCAAACAGTGGAGTTTTCAAGAATCCAAGAGCGCCATAGCCCCCTAGGCCACAACATGGTTCCGTTAATGCTTTTAGGTAGTTTTGACATGTTCATAGATTATGAATAATAACTACAAGAAGGAAAAATGTTTTGATACCTACAAAGGATACTGTAGACTGAAATTAACTATAAATGGCATAGTAAAAAGTGATATATAATAGCTTGTGATTAAATAAAAAAATTCAATATTTGATAGAACAAACTAAAAGAACAAAATTCATGTAGCTGATCCTAAATAGTTTGGAATAAACGTTGCAGAGTTGTATTTTTTGGGGACAAGCATCACTAAAGTAACAAATTCCTTGATATCAATTTTTGCACCTATCCGGCCCAGTAAGTTTCAAGTACAATCAATTTTCAGCATTGGCTATAAATTGCTTCCATAGCAAGCCATATCCATTTGTAGCCCCAATCCCCAACTATGAAATCTTCAAACTTCCGACCCACAACAATGTGGATGTGCACAAGCATTATTAAAGACTTACAATGGCACACACAATATTAAAGAATATGGTTATAACCTAGATACGAACTAACACTCTGAATGAGCGGATTCAAAAAATTGAATCCGCGAATTTCATATTGATAATTAGTGTATTGTACACTTATGGGGTAAGCTCCACAGAAGCTAAAATTTTGGACTAATTAACGGGTTGGAACCCAACCCAATAAACATTCAACAACCACCAAATGGAGCATGGCCCAAGTTGAGCCCAGTTGTTTTCCAAAATACCCTACAGTTGAATTTATTACTGTCTTCCCAAAGTCTTTGTTGATACACAACCGATCTGGGATTAAGCATTTGTTCTTACTTTTCAATACAGCCTACAACTGTCCTCTTAGTAGCCTTCTTTCCAAAGAACTTTTTGATGCTCTGTTAATGTGGGATCTACAAATTGTTCTAAAATGCCTATTTTTCTTTCCTTATTTCATTGACATCCTCTTTTTCAATGTGTATCACAATGTCATATATATAAATTTGATGCTCTCAGTGACATGCTTCTGCTCTCATTTTTTTTTTTTTGAAATTTCTCACTGTGGCACTCTCTCTCGAGCGCTATGTGATCTAGGTTATAACACTTCCAGACCACACAGAAAACCCCCAATGCTCAAATACAGTTGATCTTCCCCTTGAATTATTTGTTTTCTCCTTTCCCAGATCAACCTCACCTCAATTCACGTTGTATCCAAATTACTCACAAGAATTACAACCTTTTATTAACTCCTCCATCCTAAAGTTCGAAACTAAAAATTCTCTAATCAAGCAAGCACCACTCATAAAATGAAAAAAGAAAAACCAACCAATACAAAACAAATTTTAACAGTTATTTTGGCCACCAAATTCCGTACATTAGAACTCCATTTTCATTCATGAAGTGAAATACCTTCGACAAATACATACATAANAGAAAAACCAACCAATACAAAACAAATTTTAACAGTTATTTTGGCCACCAAATTCCTTACATTAGAACTCCATTTTCATTCATGAAGTGAAATACCTTCGACAAATACATACATGACAATGTTGAAACTAAGCCCATATCAATTAACAGAAAATGAACCCCATGCGTGATTTCACTTACCAAATGATTCACGATGTGCGACCCGGACGTGTTCCCCCGCGAATTACAAAACCACTTCCGACATGAAGGCACATTACACCTGACCACACAAGCCGGATTCGTCACCCCACAATATCTACAAGCATGCTCCGTAAAACCACCCTTGCCAAACTCAAAACCATCGTCATCCCCAGTCTCCTCAAAATTCAACCCACTCATCCCCGCTGCCAACGCATCCACCGCCGCCTGATTATTACTACTACTTCCTCCACTGCTGCCTCTCTTTCCCGAGGGTGAAGCATCGGATTGATGTCCAGAGGAGTGTCTATCAGGAGTTTCGGACACAGAATCAGCGGGTGTGGGCCATACCACAGAGCGAATTGGTNGAGAGCATAGGGTGATCGTGTATCTATACATGTTAATAGGCGTTTGAAAACGTCATGAAGAAGTTGGGGAAGGGGGAGGGGGCCGTGTGGCACGTGACTCTCTTGCAATTGGATGGAAATTAGCCAATTAATTGGAAATTGTATCGGATTGTAGTAGATCCTATTAAAAATCTGTTACTGGAATATAATTTTATTTTGCGAAAATTTCAATCACATTCATTTTAATTTATTATATCTTCAAAAGACAATCTTTTTATTATCAAAAATATCACTGACATTCTTTTTACTTTATATTTAAACATCACTGATATTAAACTACTGAGTAATGCTATGCTGCACAAATATTTGTCTAAATTTTATATCTTAAGTGATGTGTCAAAATCTTAGAGATTGANTTTATTATCAAAAATATCACTGACATTCTTTTTACTTTATATTTAAACATCACTGATACCACTGATATTAAACTACCGAGTAATGCTATGCTGCACAAATATTTGTCCAAATTTTATATCTTAAGTGATGTGTCAAAATCTCAGAGATTAAATATTTAATGGAGTTAATGAATCCCACTAATCCAACCACATGCATTAATTTAGGATATAAGATTTGAACAATAATTTGTGCAGCATAGATTTATCCTAAACCACTATTTCTAACGAAAAAATTCATCTAAAATAAAAAAAAATGCTCTTACATAAACTCCAAATAATATTTTTATATAAAATTCGATTAGAATTCTAGTCGATTAAAATTTATTTTTCTACATATTAAAATTTAAGTTGATTAAAATTTATTTTTTTACATATTAAAATTTGAGTCGATTAAAATTCGATTTGAGCTGATTAAATTTGAATATTTTTATGTATTAAAATTTGAGCNCCAAATAATATTTTTATATAAAATTCGATTAGAATTCTAGTCGATTAAAATTTATTTTTCTACATATTAAAATTTAAGTTGATTAAAATTTATTTTTTTACATATTAAAAATTGAGTCGATTAAAATTCGATTTGAACTGATTAAATTTGAATATTTTTATGTATTAAAATTTGAGCCGATTTAAGCTCTGCCTAAGTTATTAGCGTCAATTAAATTAGTTTCGAGTCGATTAAAATTTATATTTTTTTACTTATTAAAATTTATGCCAATTAAAATTCGATTCAAGTTAATTAAATTTTATTTTTTACGTATTAAAATTTGAGTCGATTAAAATTTATATGTTTTTATGTATTAAAATTTGGGCAGATTAAAATTCAATGCGAGTTAATTAATATTTGATTCGAGGTGATTTTTAATTGACTCGAATAGAATTTTAATGAGCTCAAATTTTAATACGTAAAAAATATAATTTTTAATTAACACGAATTTTAATATATAAAAAATAAATTTTAATTAATTTGAATCAAATTTTAATTGGTTCAAATTTTAATATATAAAAAAACCTTAAAAAAATATAGGGAGTCTCATTGAAGATATGTCTATCTAAAGGAGTTGTAGATGAAGTTTTTTCTCAAATATATCATGGGTAATTTAATAAATTTACATTCTAATTAACACATTTAATATGACAAAGGGTGTCAGTGAATATTCATAAAATAGAGCGAGTGTCCTTAAAGATATGGTAAACTAAAAAGAGTGTGACTTAAATTTTTTCTTTTATTTTTTAATTAATTTTATTTTCACAATTACAAGACAAATGAACTAGTCATTAGATTAGACCAAGAGATATTTATCTCTCATAAATATTCTAGTTCCAACGTAAATAATTTGTATTGATTGAACTGAAAAGAAAATTANCAAACTTTACTATTGCACGAATACCACGAAACAAAGAAGAAAATAATTTCTTTACTATTGTTCAAAGAAATTGAAAAGAACAAAGTAGGTCGAGCTTCTTGATGTATAAACATTGCTCAAACAAGAAAAGAATACAAAAATACAGCCAAAATAATAGCAGCTCCTGCAGTGGTCATCACAGCCTCAGGCTTCACCCATCAATTGGGTAATGTCAGATTATTCAATTTACCTGTATCTTTATGCTCCACATTTCAGGATTTCACTCACCNATAATAATGGGATGAAGTCCATGGAAATTGGATCACTTTTGTTTTTTGTTTTTTTTTAATAGTAATAATGGAAAATGTGATGAATGAAAAGTAGGAGGGATACACTGTCAATCCTCCAAGGAAAAAAAATAAGAATGATACACTTTCCTTCTTTTGTGTTTGATAGAATGAATGAGAAATAAAAATAATTAAATATATTTTTTTTGCTTGGTANAAGGAAAAAAAATAAGAATGACACACTTTCTTTCTTTTGTGTTTGATAGAATGAATGAGAAATAAAAATAATTAAATATTTTTTTTTGCTTGGCAAAATAGAAAAAATATTTTTTTATTCTTTATTCTTTATTTTTAAAATTTTTTATAAAAGCATAAATACAAATTTTATTATTGTATTTATATATAAAATTAATATATACAAAAATAATTAATATATATATATATATATACTGAAAGATTAATTTTGGCGAGTTTAAAAGAAAGTTCATTCATCCACTTTTTTATTCTTCTTATTTTTTCCTTCCTTACCAAACATGATGTTTTATCTGTTCTTTTAACTTTTTATTATTCAATTTTTCCATTGTATCAAACAAAGCATTAAGGTTTAGTATTCCATACATGTAGGAATTGATATAATTATTTTATCAAACCTTTTTTTTTAGTCCAAGTACTATTAGAATGAGAAAACGACTCGAATTTCTAATCTCCAACAGCAAAAACAGTTGACCTAATGACTTAATGGCTTCATTATTTTGTCAAATTTGGAATTAATTGAATACTATGCATTATTTTCCTCCCTAACTTCTTTTCTCCCTTCTTAATTCTCTAATTTTTTTTTTCTCTTCCTCCTACTTTGTCATCCTCTCTTCCCTAATTCTCCTTCTCGATCTATATAATAATGTCATCAACGTTAGCACATTGACTATGACATTATTCTTGTGGGCTCATACCCATTACAATATGCTTTTGACTATATTCATTACCCCACCTTCGAGTGTCAAGAGACCATAACATCAAGAGTAGGCAGCCTTGTAGCTGTTTGTCATTCTCTACCACTTCATTCCACTTCTCAATCTGCAAGGGACACAAACCAGCTTCATCAAGAGTAGGCGGTCTTGTAGCTGTTTGTCATTCTCTACCACTTCATTCCACTTCTCAATCTGCAAGGGACACAAATCAGCAGATAAGCGACCATAAAAATACATTAAAACCGTAACAATTTTAAGTAATTTTGCCAAAAAATGAGATCAATATGACTTACCCATTCAGAAGGGCACACTGATTGGTAATCCTTGGCAAACTTCTCGCACTCTTGCGCATCTTTACCCTTTTCTCAAAGGCACCTATATCATAGCACATATGCACGGTTTGATAACGTTTTTCTAATTAATTGAATGCACCTATAGCATACACACATGTGCATGGTTTGATAACGTTTTCTGATTAAATTTCACAAACCCAAACCTGCAAGGTGGATTCAAATTCCATTCGTGTTGTTTCTTAATTAAAATTGCACCCTGGACAAACCACCAGAGAACAAAAATGACCATTAATGGTAAAAAGTACCGAGCCAACCATGAATAGCTACTTTGAGGAAAATGATAAAATTCCAAAAGGTAGTTCAAGTAATAACAGTGACGAATTGTAAACCCAAACATCCTAAGTTCGAATTTTGACAACCCTTTAGAGACAGACCATGAGAGATTTTAATCCTTTATGAATACCCTAATATCCGTATAGATGACCTATCTTTGACTGGATCGAGGAAAAAATTAATCGAAGTACACGTAAACTGGCCCGAATATCCCTCACTGTTTGAACCCCAAAAAAATGACAATTTAATAATGTTGGAATCTAATCCAAGCACCAAATCCCTTGAATATACAATCTATCAATAGGCTCAAAGATGAGTCTCACAACAAGCCCACAGAAAACAGTAAAAATACAAAAGACAGCAGCCAAAAAAAAACCTTCCCAACAAAATTTATCAACCGAGATAACTAGAAGAGGCAATTAATACGGAAGAGCAATGAGCATTAGAGGAATAGTTGGCCAGTAGTAGTCCTCAGGTCTAACCAGGCAGTAGTATTCCTCCATAAGGTTGGATGGTACTGGCGCGGGTGTAGTAATCCTGCTGTACAATTGCAACTTGGGACATCGTAAAGGAGTTCCAAGTAGTTGTAGTTGTCAAACATGCGTGTGTAGTAATCCTCCAGTACAAATGCAACTTAGGAAATCGTAAAGGAGTTCCAAGTTGTAGTTGTCAAACATGCGTGCAGGGACGGATACAAAACTTTATAATCCTGGTGGCATTTTTTAAACTTTTGAAGCTATCTTGTAACATATAACGTACATTAGAGCACTGATACCCAATAGTTTTATGATTAGAATGATCTCAGGCACTCGAGGACTGCACAAAAGGTGGCCTAGTAGCTCATGAACTTTAATTGTATAATGAAAATTCAAAATTCAAACTTAAAAAAAAAAATTATATGCGATTGGATCTATATATTAAGGCAATCTGACCGGATCGCACATAGACTTTGATGGGATTCAGGAAGATAGTACCTACTTCCTACATAATGGGGAACGCCCATAGCCACCGCCTTGCGGGTGCACAAATTACAATGCCTCCACACAACCAGGTCTTCACACAATGAAGGTCATCAAATTTGGCACCAATTATATATATTACTCTAAACTCGTATTGTACAATATTATATGTTTTAGGCTAAACTAACACCATAAAACATTTCATACACAACCTTATCCACATAATCCATGTGTTGGATCACTACTCATGTTTAACATGAAAACTCAACTACGTTTATATTTATCAAGTTTTTAATTTGTGGGGTCTTGATCAGAGTGTCCGAATCAATTTACGTATATCTTGACTAATTCTCTCCTCGTCCGATCAAAAGCGGACTATCCACCTGAGACTAGAGTATCCCTCAATTCCTTATGATCTAACTCCAACGAGTTGTCAAAATTCGAATTCACGACGTTTGGATTTACAACTCGATTCTAACTTTCAAAAAATTAAATAAACCTCCGTACCTATTTGCTTCATATCAACCAGAACTGAAACATTGTAATGCTAGGCNTATATATATATATATATATATATTGAAAGATTAATTTTGGCGAGTTTAAAAGAAAATTCATTCATCCACTTTTTTATTTTTCTTATTTTTTCCTTCCTTACCAAACATGATGTTTTATCTGTTCTTTTAACTTTTTATTATTCAATTTTTCCATTGTATCAAACAAAGCATTAAGGTTTAGTATTCCATACATGTAGGAATTGATATAATTATTTTATCAAACCTTTTTTTTTAGTCCAAGTACTATTAGAATGAGAAAACGACTCGAATTTCTAATCTCCAACAGCAAAAACAGTTGACCTAATGACTTAATGACTTCATTATTTTGTCAAATTTGGAATTAATTGAATACTATGCATTATTTTCCTCCCTAACTTCTTTTCTCCCTTCTTAATTCTCTAATTTTTTTTTTCTCTTCCTCCTACTTTGTCATCCTCTCTTCCCTAATTCTCCTTCTCGATCTATATAATAATGTCATCAACGTTAGCACATTGACTATGACATTATTCTTGTGGGCTCATACCCATTACAATATGCTTTTGACTATATTCATTACCCCACCTTCGAGTGTCAAGAGACCATAACATCAAGAGTAGGCAGCCTTGTAGCTGTTTGTCATTCTCTACCACTTCATTCCACTTCTCAATCTGCAAGGGACACAAACCAGCTTCATCAAGAGTAGGCGGTCTTGTAGCTGTTTGTCATTCTCTACCACTTCATTCCACTTCTCAATCTGCAAGGGACACAAACCAGCAGATAAGCGACCATAAAAATACATTAAAACCGTAACAATTTTAAGTAATTTTGCCAAAAAATGAGATCAATATGACTTACCCATTCAGAAGGGCACACTGATTGGTAATCCTTGGCAAACTTCTCGCACTCTTGCGCATCTTTACCCTTTTCTCAAAGGCACCTATATCATAGCACATATGCACCTATAGCATACACACATGTGCATGGTTTGATAACGTTTTCTGATTAAATTTCACAAACCCAAACCTGCAAGGTGGATTCAAATTCCATTCGTGTTGTTTCTTAATTAAAATTGCACCCTGGACAAACCACCAGAGAACAAAAATGACCATTAATGGTAAAAAGTACCGAGCCAACCATGAATAGCTACTTTGAGGAAAATGATAAAATCCCAAAAGGTAGTTCAAGTAATAACAGTGACCAATTGTAAACCCAAACATCCTAAATTCGAATTTTGACAACCCTTTAGAGACAGACCATGAGAGATTTTAATCCTTTATGAATACTCTAATATCCGTATATATGACCTATCTTTGACTGGATCGAAGAAAAAATTAATCGAAGTATACGTAAACTGGCCCGAACTCGAGGACTGCACAAAAGGTGGCCTAGTAGCTCATGAACTTTAATTGTATAATGAAAATTCAAAATTCAAACTTAAAAAAAAAAATTATATGCGATTGGATCTATATATTAAGGCAATCTGACCGGATCGCACATAGACTTTGATGGGATTCAGGAAGATAGTACCTACTTCCTACATAATGGGGAACGCCCATAGCCACCGCCTTGCGGGTGCACAAATTACAATGCCTCCACACAACCAGGTCTTCACACAATGAAGGTCATCAAATTTGACACCAATTATATATATTACTCTAAACTCGTATTGTACAATATTATATGTTTTAGGCTAAACTAACACCATAAAACATTTCATACACAATCTTATCCACATAATCCATGTTTGGATCACTACTCATGTTTAACATGAAAACTCAACTACATTTATATTTATCAAGTTTTTAATTTGTGAGGTCTTGATCAGGGTGTCCGAATCAATTTACGTATATCTTGACTAATTCTCTCCTCGTCCGATCAAAAGCGGACTATCCACCTGGGACTAGAGTATCCCTCAATTCCTTATGATCTAACTCCAACGAGTTGTCAAAATTCGAATTCAAGACGTTTGAATTTACAACTCGTCCTTATTCTAACTTTCAAGAATTTAACTAAACCTCCGTACCTATTTGCTTCATATCAACCAGAACTGAAAAAAAAAATTGAGGACGAGAAAAAAATGTAGGCCTTCCTTAAAAAAATCACATGCAAAACAAGAATTTAATGTAATTATATCGCATAATAAAAAAGAAATCAAATGAACAGAAGCCCCCCAAAAAAAAAAATACTTATGGTATTCAAGGTAGCTTGTAAAACAACGGAGTGCTTCATCACTGAACAGAAACTTCTCATCAGCCGTCGGACCTTTCTCTGTTTCGGCCACCTGCTTTATCACAATTGACTAGCATCACATATAACCACTAGCAATAAAATTGTACCCGAAGACAATTTGCAATATTAAAAATCATAAAATTCATTTATTTATTTTTTAATTAAACAATTTAAAATTCAAGTAAACACAGANTGTACAATATTATATGTTTTAGGCTAAACTAACACCATAAAACATTTCATACACAATCTTATCCACATAATCCATGTTTGGATCACTACTCATGTTTAACATGAAAACTCAACTACATTTATATTTATCAAGTTTTTAATTTGTGAGGTCTTGATCAGGGTGTCCGAATCAATTTACGTATATCTTGACTAATTCTCTCCTCGTCCGATCAAAAGCGGACTATCCACCTGGGACTAGAGTATCCCTCAATTCCTTATGATCTAACTCCAACGAGTTGTCAAAATTCGAATTCAAGACGTTTGAATTTACAACTCGTCCTTATTCTAACTTTCAAGAATTTAACTAAACCTCCGTACCTATTTGCTTCATATCAACCAGAACTGAAAAAAAAAATTGAGGACGAGAAAAAAATGTAGACNTAGCTGTTTGTCATTCTCTACCACTTCATTCCACTTCTCAATCTGCAAGGGACACAAACCAGCTTCATCAAGAGTAGGCGGTCNAATTCATTTATTTATTTTTTAATTAAACAATTTAAAATTCAAGTAAACACAGAAAAAAAAAAAGAGATACATAGCGGTAAATTGGTATTGAGAGTGTATTAATTGAATTCTCTGACTCAGAAGATGTATAGAGAAAAAGAGATTTTTGAGGGAGAAAATAANCCAGCAGATAAGCGACCATAAAAATACATTAAAACCGTAACAATTTTAAGTAATTTTGCCAAAAAATGAGATCAATATGACTTACCCATTCAGAAGGGCACACTGATTGGTAATCCTTGGCAAACTTCTCGCACTCTTGCGCATCTTTACCCTTTTCTCAAAGGCACCTATATCATAGCACATATGCACCTATAGCATACACACATGTGCATGGTTTGATAACGTTTTCTGATTAAATTTCACAAACCCAAACCTGCAAGGTGGATTCAAATTCCATTCGTGTTGTTTCTTAATTAAAATTGCACCCTGGACAAACCACCAGAGAACAAAAATGACCATTAATGGTAAAAAGTACCGAGCCAACCATGAATAGCTACTTTGAGGAAAATGATAAAATCCCAAAAGGTAGTTCAAGTAATAACAGTGACCAATTGTAAACCCAAACATCCTAAATTCGAATTTTGACAACCCTTTAGAGACAGACCATGAGAGATTTTAATCCTTTATGAATACTCTAATATCCGTATATATGACCTATCTTTGACTGGATCGAAGAAAAAATTAATCGAAGTATACGTAAACTGGCCCGAANAAATTTGAGAATGAATTTGACATCATTAAATCAAAATATATAAAAATTGAATCAATCTTTAACCATTATTATGTTTTATAAATTGAGAATTCTACCTCATAATATAACATTAAATAGACTTATAAATGTGAAAACATCAACAAAATATGAAATAATAATAGCAGTGGTCAATTTCAAAACTTCATGCATGTCATTGGAATGAATTGACAGATTTTTTTACAAACAGAAACACATACAGGGCCAGTGCTCATTATCCAAACATGTATAAATTTTTATCCAACCTGTTAATTAATTTCAGAAAAGTTCATTGGGTTGATGGATTACTTACTTACAATTATCCCTCAATCAACATTAATTCATGCAGAGAGAGAGAGAGACCTTAGTGTTGGTGGACGATGGAGGCGGGGCTATGGAGACACTAAGGTTTTCACGAGAGGGACGAGTGGCTTGCTCTCCTCTTGCTACTTTGTTCATCTTGTCATGTGAGTTTGTCACAGACGCCGCTGACGTCATTGCTTCTCTCTTTCCCTCTCTTTAACAAAAAATCTCAGCTCCCTCTAGACGTACCTATCTCAGCTATCTCGATCTCTTTCTGGTTCTCTCTAAATGGCATGAACGCCGCTAACACTGATGAGATGACTATACATATACATATAAATATACATAGAGAGAGAGAGAGAAAGAGAGTCTCGTTTGCCGACCAAAGCTTATGGAATGGGGGGGATTTGAAAAATTGGAGGAGAGAAGATGGTGGGGTTTGTCTTAGAACAAAGACACGTGGCAATGTGATGGTAACGTGGCAGTGGGAAGACAGTGAGGTGTCAACACAGGCTTTATTACAATTTACGAGGTGTGAGTTGCTGTAATGGGTGATGGAAGCTTCCTTCGGCTCCTGACCTGGTCTGGTGATCTAACTTTATCTCACTATTTTAATATTAAAGTTTAATCATATTCTACAACCTGAGTGAAGTATTTTATCTCTATGCATCAGAAAAACCAAGTTTGAAACGCCAAAATAACATAGAACAACTCCCCGCCGTGAAGTTTCGATACCCTCTACAAGGCAAATGTTCTCTGATAAGTAGAACCAACCGTTTTGGCTATACATATTGATACATAAATACAATAATCATGAAAATTCGAATTAATAAAGGAATATAGATGTCGTTTCTGCAAATAGAACTCAACACAAACTTTACTATTGCACGAATACCACGAAACAAAGAAGAAAATAATTTCTTTACTATTGTTCAAAGAAATTGAAAAGAACAAAGTAGGTCGAGCTTCTTGATGTATAAACATTGCTCAAACAAGAAAAGAATACAAAAATAAAGCCAAAATAATAGCAGCTCCTGCAGTGGTCATCACAGCCTCAGGCTTCACCCACCAATTGGGTAATGTCAGATTATTCAATTTACCTGTATCTTTATGCTCCACATTTCAGGATTTCACTCATCAGATCTGACTAACAAAATTAAGATGGCCCATGAAAGTACAATGGTCACAAATTTGACATGAAAATCTTGTACTCACCTAGTCTGGTTATAGTCGAGGAAGATTCAATGGCCATCACCATGGATGGATAATCCCATACTAATAGTAAATGTGTAAACATTCAAGAAGCAGTAAGTTCCCTATTAGAAATGATTTTGCAGGCATAAAGAGAAATAAGCCCAAAAAAATCTGCAGAATTTACTACTAAGATTCATCATCTGCATATCAACAACTGACTTCACAATGTCACTCCAAGAATAGAATCATTTGATTAGATAGTATTCTACAACACTTACAAGGGAGCCAACTAGGGCAGCTTTCCTCCCCTTTCCTAGACCAAAATTACACTGGAACCCGTTTTCCACCATAACTGTCAAAGAACTGCACAGAGAAATACACAATGTTAGCTCACAGATTTCAAGATGTAGCTTGAACATATAAAGCTTGAATCACTCCACAAAGAGGTGCAACAAAGATGATATAATCAAGTCCAAATCAAATATTCCGAACCTGTAACTTTTATCAAGCATTAAAATGTATCAAACTCTTTTAGTTATGCAGTTGAAAATGCAGTACCACAGAAAAAAAAGGGCAAAATTCCAGTCAGTGGACAAACACAAGGGATTCAAAAACCAAAGCATGATAGCATCCCCTTCGGAGGTAGTAGCTCAAAATGGGGCAACTAAAATGCTCAGATGTTAGAGATACAAATTTAGCCCAAGCAGAAGCTTGCTTCCTAATTTCATATTTCATTTATAAATGTCACCCTCTTTTCTTGGCATATCGATAAAAACAGACCACAAATGAATAAACTAAAACTATGTCTGAACATAGTGCAGCAGGAACAAAATTCCAGTCAGTGGACAAACACAAGGGATTCAAAAACCAAAGCATGATAGCATCCACTTTGGAGGTAGTAGCTCAAAATGGGGCATATGACATTTAACAACTAAAATGCTCAGATGTTAGAGATACAAATTTAACTCAAGCAGAAGCTTGCTTCCTAATTTCATATTTCATTTATAAATGTCACCCTCTTTTCTTGGCATATTGATAAAAACCTTGGCATATTGATAAAAACCAGACCACAAATGAATCAACTAAAACTACGTCTAAACATAGTGCAGCAGGAACAACTGCACTTTTTTCCTCTCATTTTATTCACCTTCACTTGATCCAATCATGGAGCTCTCAACCAAGTTGTGATTATGGTTCTTATGGAATTCCATCTCTAGTTGGAGGCTTTGGTCCGCAAGGTTATAAAAAGTGGTGTGAGTACCCAAGATAAAGTTTCCTCATGTTGGGATTTTCTGTGTGAGTAACGCAGAGGTTTTTCCCCCCCAGGGGGGGGGGAGATCATGTTGTTTGCTAGTTCAATTTATCAGGAAATCAAATTAGCGATCAGTTTGAAAAAAGTAGGAATGTTATGACAAACATGTTGAACATAGAGATGTGACTAAAATTTAAGAAACTACAATATGAGAATGGAAGAGAATTGGAGTATTTTGATATTAACTTTCGAAGAGAGCGATAGAGATGGGAAAGTTGAGAGACTGTCAAATACACGATATCGACTATGTGACATATAACATAAAACAATAGAATAGAATGAAAATGACTATGATCATACGTCGAGAAAGAAGAGACCAAAACATAACCATTGTTTTCAACTTTGAAAGAGAGATGAACGAATGAAAAAAGTATTCTGTAACGAAGAGAGCTTTTTATAGCTTTTCTCACCAAAATTTTCCAATAAATATATAAGCTCATGAGACAATCACATTTGGATTGAGTCCTTAAGTATTAAAACAATAGATATGGTTTGAACGAGCTCAATAAATAAACATGTCTAACAAACAAACTCAATAACTTGGATCAGTAAGATCGTAACTAGGATTAAAATCCCACGATCCTAAGAGATCTGGATCATGATTCTTTCATATCCTATGAGCAAGGAAATTTTCATGAGACTCAAATCAATTTGTTTATACCGGATTGTGTAATCATAGGATCCTATCCTATGATCCGGATCGGAATTTTGATAGCCATGTATATTTCTGACTGAGAGAACAATTCCGAATACAAAGAACGAGGCCGAAAGAACGTTCACTTATCAAGTAAATAGAGCACTGATCAACAAAGAAATGACCTCAATAAAACATGTCTTGCATAAATCCACTAAAAACTAAACTCTTAAGGAAATATATTGGAACATACCGATCTAATATATGGCTGTTGGAACACCCAACCAAGAACAGGTATCTTCTGTAGGAAAACTGCCAGTGTTGGCCAGAAGCCACTGCACAAAGTACCTCATTAGCAAATAAGCGTAAGTAATATTGATAGAGTGCATCATATCAGGAAAGACAGATTGCATCATATCATGGGAGCATAAATATAGCTAACCTGAAGAGTACGATGAACCCATAGGCCTCCAAGATCATTCCCAATATAGGCCACCCTATGACCACCAAGAAGAAGCCCGCACCAAAAGAAATTGTTCCCTGTAGAATCACCAAACAGCCCCAGGTGGTAAAAAAGAAAAAACTATGAGGACACACACACGCGCAAACGCACACACAAATAGAGAAAGAAGTCAAGAACCTTAAAATTGTTAGGTTTCATAAAGAACTGCATGGAGGACTTTAGCCCAATGGTTAACGTCACCCCTGACAAGAAGAGGATCTGGTTCAGTAAAGACAACACAATGTTAAACGGGCATAAATCAATAATAAGTAACACAGTAAGAAAGGAGAAAAGATCTGTAGCGACAAAAAGATAATCGTGAGACAATGTTACTTACATTTCCCATGGCAAGTAGGCCCTTATCAAAGAAGAAAATGATTCCCAAGAATGAAAAAAATATGCCAAATCCTGTCAATCCTACCCCAATCTCTGTTTCATCACAACATAGCAAGTTCTTTAGGGGATAACACTTCTAAAAATAGATTCAGATATGCCAAGTCTAATTGGAAAGATAATCAGGCTGAATGTTCATAGTCATTAACTTTGAGAAAAAAATATAACAGAGGCAAATTCCATGAAGATAAGAGAGGAATATTGAAAGCAAATGCACGCCATGGGCGCGAATCTTCCCCCACCATGTATTTCCTTTTTAGTGATTATCAACTTATCATCCATATTATTTTTGGAATGTAAAGTTCAAAAATTCATGCTGCAAGCTGTTAAAAAATAAAATCAGACAGATACTGCTTCCTTTCACAACTAACTTCCACACCAAATCCTTGTATTCCCTTAATCATAGAGAACAGATTAATCAAGCATTTTATTTTTATCCTACAAGATAGGCAGGTGAACGACATTATAGTATCAGACTACACTCTATGAAATCAGGATTTGAGTTATGCTATATCACATTTTTTTATTTCTTTTTATACTTGCCTCAAATTCATTTAGAATTATCTCGGGGGTTTTTGTTGGGTGTCAAATAAGCAAAAATCTAAACCCATTCTGAAACTAGACTAACTATTCATCTACTACCTTCAGAGATGAAATTGTCCATTTGTAGTTGACCAATATGGTTATATGATACCAAAACCAAATCAACACCTGTGCAATGTATACACATAACAACAACAACAACCATAATAGTGACAAAGAGTAAAAGGAACGATGTCTCGTCACTCACTTTTACGGTCGTCCATCTCAAACGAAACCATTGTGTATTTTCAAATCCAAGTGACCTACAATCACAGCTGAATAACAAGAACCATTGCATCAAATATATGTATATATATATATATCAAATTCGAATAAAACCTCTCAATTGAAAACAACAAACATTATAAAAGAACTAGAACAATCAAGTCTGCACAATAAAGTCGGCTGAGTCAGGATTTCAATAGAGAAAGCTCAATTTAAATAAGATCCGCCACAGTACCTGTTCCAATTCGAAGAAAATGAAATCCGATTCAACGATATTATAAGCACCTAAACGGAGAGAATCATCAAATTAAGAAAAAAGTAATGGACAACGATGCATTAGTGCCAAGAGAGAG